GATTTCACAATTTAACCACAATCAAAATCTTCGATGTGAATTTTCAGATAGTGTAAGAATCCTCAGGGTACTAAATAAGGACAGTTAAAAAACAATTTGTAGAATAACTTAGGCCTTTGTAATGTTACCTTTCTGTCAAAAAACCAATGTCGAGTACTTAAATTCTACAATTCAAGAAGATAAAAGTCAAACATCTAAGTAAAAATATATCAGTAATCAATAAACAATGAAATGAATACCGATCAGTTGAGTAGTTCAGACTTTCGAGGGGAAGTCATGTGACCGACAGTTACCCTCATTAGCTCTGAAAATAAAAAAATTAATTCAGACTTGGTTTTCTAAAAATCAAGCTACCGAGAAACAATAACAACTTCCAAAATCAAATATTCTGCGGTAAGGAAATTATCCAACCAAATAATCAAAAAACATAGCTCCTTATATCAGTAGAAACTTACACAGTGCAACTTTTTACTGTTCAAGTTTTATACTGTGCTAATTTTTTCTGTTTTTCTTTTTACTATGATTAGTTTATCATGCGTCGGTTTTTACTGGATACTGCGCCAGACCGACTGACACTAGTCTTGGAGTTTCGAGAGATGTTTGGGGTATTATAGCAAAAACGAACGCCATCGTGTATATTGTACCATAATACTATATTATTGTTGTTGTTGTTAACGAAAATAGAGAATTCCCAATGTCGTGTTTGTGTGTTTTATTCTTGCCGGTTCGGAAATCCGTCGTCGCAGAACTACTTATACCAAGGACCGCGTGAGACCAAGGTAGCCTGGTGGAAAATAATGGAAAAAAAAACGGAAATCCGACAGGCTTAAGTTTTGTTGTGGCTAAATAAACAACAAGAAAGAGCTGAATCGCGTCGGTGGCAGGCAAAACGTCTAACGAGCCGTCAGTTTGACGTTCACTTTACTTGGCAATGTGTATATTATAATACTCTGAAGTAAACTGCCGCTGCCGCCAACGTCAAAACGCACTAATAGCAATCGGTTCTGAGTTGGTATCGTCGAATGGCTTTTATACATTCCCAAGGCGGAAGCTGTGTGCATAAATAAATCCCTACGTCTCTTTGTACAGGTTAATCCATAAGCTGTTAATATATTTTATACACTGGGAAATATCACCGTCGCCCAATATTGTCAACGTCATCATCTAAAAAACGCATAAGACAAAAAAACAATACCTTCACAGCTCGGCAACAAAGCTAAAAGCAATATTATGTTCTCAACATTTGTAATATTTTTTATTTAATGTTTATTCTAAACTATCACTATCGGTTCATCGATGCTTGTTATAGCCGAGCACACTTATTTATCCGAAGTAATTTTTGCTTGAAAAATATATTTCATGTTCATGGGCACCTCTAATTATTTATGATTTTTTTAAATTTAATTATTAAATATACAAAATGGTAAACGAAAAAGTTTTAAATAAATCACAAATTAAAAACGGTAATCTACCTTTTTTTTTCGCTTCTCTGTAGTTTTAAAAAGACGGTTAAAGAAACGTAAGAGTAACATAATACTTATGACCATAAACATTTTTCAAAAGAGGTTTTTTGAAACAAGACTCTTAATTAAGATTAAAACAACGTATATATATACAATTTACTTACTATACTTTTGTTTATTTTGAAAAAAAAAATAATCGTTTTTTTCAGAAACTGCGTGATGCTGATTAATTAGCAATGATGCACATTGTTTTAAGTTGAGTAAACTTTTGCACTATGAAGGATAAAAAGGCAAAAAGATAACTAAATTAGTAAATACATTGTCAAGAATGTATTTTCGGTTTCATAGAAAATTATAGATAATTATTTAAACTTACATCTCAAATCTAGATAATTTTAACTATTAAATACTTTTAATTCAGTAAACGAATTAAAATTTACTTATCATTGGGTTATGTTCAGGTATATGTTTTTATTTTTCACACAATTATAATATAAGTAGAAGAGACGTGAAGAGAAAACATGTAAAATTAAAACGAGCATAGCTCATTAAAACGGAATTAAAACGTGTTAATCGAGTACACATTGTATAATAATATGTAGTCTCCAAACAATATCTACTTGAACGAACCTCGTAGTGGTTTGGAGATGGTCGATAAAAACTAATAATAATATGTATAATAAATAAAAATTAGGCGATAAGAGATAAGAGAAAAATGAATAAATCAAATGTCTTGAACAAATTTTTCAAACAATAAGGTAATAATTCTGAAAGCTATTTGGTAAGCGCAGCGGGAAGTGTGCCTATTGTTACCTCAGTCGATTCTAAACGTTAACGTTTTAAATTTTTTTTTCTTTCAATCAAACTTTAGGTTAAGACCCCTGGCCGTTTTTTTACGCAGTTGTTAATAAAAGTATTTCTTTTTTTTATTTGTTGCCCCTACACGTTTGTCACGACATCAGTATGTTTTTACTAAATATTTCTATATTTTATATTGTACAACGGTGCACATTTGTAATATCGGTCTGTATCGTATCCAAAAGCTTTCCCTCGGTCGACCAGCTGCAGTGTTATTTTCAACGAACGTGACACGATGTCATCCCGGACGGAAACCGTCTGGTATTGTACTTATTATTCGTTTCTGCGATGATACTATAAAAATTATAATAATTGTTCCTATACTGCGGCCGACACGTTTTAATCAACTTTTAATCCACCGTCGCTAAACGAGACATACCCATTGTCGTTTTTAACGAGCAAGACATAACCGTTTCGTTTTACTAATTGCCACTTTAGTTAGACGACCAATTTTCCATGGAGAAAATATATTATATTATATTATATTCGATCATTGTAAGGAAACATACTGTAAGGAAACATACAACACCAAGCAATACTCAAGTAAAATTTTGAATTCTTAATTTTGTTTTTTTTTTAGAATTATATTTTAGCAACAAAATTGAGAAGCATTTACTACAGTTTTATTATTTTACGACCAACTATTGGGATTATATTGTTGGGCTTTGTCGGTCTCGACAAAATAGACTTGACTTAAAAGTTATACACGTTATGAGAGGGATTTTGGTCGTTAATTATAAAAAAAAAAAAAAATTCCAGACCCCAAGTAATTAATGTAAACGCCCAGATCCCTTCTGGCAATAAAAAACGATTTATATTGGTCTCTAGATAAAATTTAAGGATTATAAAGCACTCGGAAATCGTTAAAGATTACAATTTCGTTTAGGAAAATGTATACAACGTAATATATTTTTAAAGATAACAATATGTAAATCATTTTTGAACCGATTTAGAACAGCAGAAATAACTCAGCGAGATACATTTCCTTTTTAACGTTTTTATATTACTTTTTCAGACCAAAGTAGTGTGCTTCGGCTGTTGTTCAAATAAGTGTACTATAATAATTTACATCATCAAAACCGAACTATTGTCTTTTATAATCAACCACTTCGTATACTAACTTCCATTCCTGGCACGGAATTATTACTGTGATGATATCACTACGGTTCATCGCTATTGTATTGGACGGTTTTCAACAGTTTAGTCAATAGGAAACATAATCGCAATATCAAGAATTATACTGGCAATGTATACAATCTGAATGATGTGGTCAATTGCACTGATGTACGAACCCTTTTGAGTTTTAAATGAAATTCAAGAAGATATTTTTCAAAGCTTATATTCCTTTTAATTTTAGTGAGTGCATTTGTTGACCGTGTAGTAGCATTAACTTTGATAATTTATTTGCCGAAAAAAACAACTTAAATTCATTATTTATATTTCACTCAACTCTTAGTGCTTCACTCATAATGTATTATATCCTAGTCTTCATATTAAATTTAGTCCATAAACCCTAGCTGGAGATGGTAACATAGTTTATGTGTAAAAGTTATCCAACGATCGTTTTGCGGCTAACAGCTGCAGCAAGTTGTTTAGATTCTAAAATATTTACACTCGTTACCAGATCCAAAAGCGTCTACTAATGGGGCTTTTTACTTGTACAATAATATTCTGATTGAGTTGGTTGTGTTTGGCGGACGACACCGCTACAGGTGTATTTCGATTTGTAAAAATAAATTAATAATAATTTTGTAAAATAATTCACTTGGTCGACAGATGTAATAGACTTTTGGGCACTTAAAAGAACTAAAAAACCTATACTCTAATGATAATCGTATTGTCGTTACAATATTTTACGAACAATTATTCTTATTTAAAAAAAAACACATTACACAATTCGACAAAATATAATATGGTAACGCCATCGCTACTGTCGGTTTTTTTGCGCAATGCATATTTTGAAAGTAAATCGTTTTGTTGATGATTGAATCCCTATTTCCTTATGTTGGAAAAGTATATAAGTATACATGAGTAGGTACAGAGGAAAAATAAAAATACTTTGGCACAATAGAAGCGCAAACGGCGACAGTTTGAATTGTTAATGCGCCAAAATGGATAGGACGACTAACGACGAACGAACGGCATGAAGAAACGCGTATACCTATTCCTCTTGATCATTTTTTTAACGGAAAAAAACAATATGCATCCGTCACGTTGTTAAATCACTGTTGTGTAGAATGTTGTTTTGTTTATGCAATTTATTCAGAAGCACTCTTTTCCCGTGCCTATAGTTTTCTCGCATGTGTTTTCTTGACAATGACAAACACCGTCTTTGGATGTGTCGCGTTTCTCGGCGATTTTTCCGCTCTAAACGCGTGCAACGTTAACACGGTTCAATATTGAACATTGAGAATAGTACCTATTACACCTACTTAGACCTGATCTTACCGCACGCAATACTGTCATTTGTGGTTTTCTAACGTTTATAACATGGTGTATATTATTATTGGAAAATGTATACCACGCCATACCTGACTAATTATTAACGATAATATACTATACTTAAAAAAAAAAATGTCAAAACCTCGGTGGAGAAAATAATGTATTAGGTTTTAATACTGAAATGAAATTATTACAAGCCGTCTGTATTTTAATCGTTGTGTACCGTTTACTTTGCAGGAGAGTTGGTAAAATAAAATTCATGGCCTTGGACGACCCGAGACTTCCGTAAGTATAATTTCGCTATACATCAAAATCCTAAATAATACTATAGTACAGTATTGAAATAATGCAGTACATTTACCGCATTGGATTTAATTGCTCGGTAAATTATCATTTATGTGTACGGATGAAAATATTAGTGTTTGCGAACCGATAAATTTTAGCATTCAATTAATAATTAGAGACGTTTCAGGTTCGTTTATCTTTTATAATATTGTTTATGAACGTTTTACCAAATTATATACTTTAAGGATTTTCCTTTTATGTTATTAAACAAAATAATTGGTGTACTATACATGAAAGCGGTGTACGAGAAACATGAAAGCGGTTAGTAAAAGTAAGTCGAGCCACTGGCACGATGAACAAATTTTAAACCCTATGACAAAGCACTTTAAAATCCTCTCGCCCTCTGCCAAAGGCCGGCCGTATCACTGTTGTATTTTCCCGAGCCGAAAGCCAATCCCCGCTCCACTCTGCTATGTTTACACGGTGATTTTAATAATATTACTGTCATGAGTACTTTTCTAAATAAATTGGCTTGCTTGTTACAGCGAAACCGATAATAAAATAAATTCATCTCTACCGTCTTTGTCAACAACTAAAACTGTCAAACACACGCGGTATAGTTTGAGTGAAGAATTTATTTGTTTTGCTATTGCCCTATAAAAACGGCAATATTAATCATTTTTTTAGCCCATATTATGAATTTTGTAGACTTTTTTTTAGAGAATAAGATCTCATTATTGAATTCAATATGTTCTTGCGTTTAAAACGGCTCGCGTTAACCATTTCATAAGATTATTGTTTGGAAATTCACTTTATTGGCTACACCGATGTTGGTTTAAGACAGCAACTACCGGTCTTACCAGGTATAAGGGCTATTCATTAATACTTGTTGTCAATTATCGTTTATACAATTTTAAATTTAGTAGATAAAACTCACACACCACGGGAACCCAGCAGGTATGGCAGGTATAGCACAGGCGTCCATAGCGGGAGTGTTTATTTTTTTTCTATCCTCTAATGAGTTTCGAGGTTTCGTTTTACTTTGCATCACGTGTGCTTAATGAAGGGAATGAAAGAACAAAAAATTCTTCATTAGCGTAAAGACGGCGTAAACTATCTTTCCTATACACCCGGCGGTCGTGTCGTTTACAATAATGCATAATATATAAGCGTCGTATACGGTATAATATGCAATGTTAACGACTACACGCTAAACTACAGAGCACCGTCGCATAATTTCGTGTACGGAGAACATTAACAAAAAAACCGTAACATACACACACACACACACAATCAAAAGGATACCACAACTAGTGCCCGGAGAAAAGGTCAAAATAATTGCGGCAAAGGTTTGAAAAAAAAAAAATTTTTTTACTACACAAAGGCCCGGGTAACGGCGGCGGCGGCGGGGTCCGTACAATGGGCAATTATTCGAAAAACGAAAACTGCTTTTTTTTAAATTTTGTTTTTATTTTAAGCTATTACCCGGTACAAACGAGACGCGAGAACAACACACGCCGCCACCACTGTTATCCTTCAACCCCATCGCGGTCTGTCCGTGATAAATTGTCCGGTCTCGGTTTATAACGCGAAGGCCGTTTTTCCAATGAAAAAAATATACCCACTCTCTCGGTATCGCTGTTCTGTCTATAGCTCGTGTAATATCATATATATATACACACCCATGTATAATAATATATTAATCCGCAGCTGGGCGTAGAGGGGTAAAAATGATTTCAAAAAATCCCGTTTGACCCGACTGCGATGACGGAGGCGGATTTGATAACGAAAACAAGACGGCCACCCGTTTATTATAATTATTTTGCTCGACCCGGCGTGCATGCGGTTCATCACGGTTTTCACAATCCATCTTCTTAATGAATTGCGTTCCGTCTGCCATCGAGCTATTCGTCGTATACACAACAACTTACCGCTAACGTCTCTTATATCGAAACTCGTCAAAGCATTAATCTCGACTGCAGTCGTTTGCTGTAGGAAAATTAACCGTTTTCCATTTTCCAGTCACGTGGAGTGCTAGTACAAATACCGCATTATTGTTTTTAGCCAAGAATTATTGTGAAATATGTTTGCAACGCATTGAACACCTTTGAAAATCGAACAGTTCTAATAAATACCTATACAACGCTCATATAACATATTATTATACGTGTATTCTGTGACTCGTCGATGGCTTATAACATCAATACCGACTAATAGAATAATACTATATTTTCTTGACGTTTTGAAGTGATTTGTTTTTTTTAACAAGTCAATAAATTATATATTTATTTGACCAGATAGCCGATTACGTATACCGGACTCGGTTGCATAAATTAATATTCTTTTATTTATTTATTTTTTACGGTTAGAAATAGAACTATACGTATACAGACGACCCTAATAAGTTATTAAAGCATTCAACAGACATAGAATTACGATAATCAACCGATTTTTTCATTAGGAATACAAATTACTAGGATAATAATGTATAGAGTTCCATTATGAGAAGCAATTCGAATTTAAATAATGGATGAGACGAAAATTGACTGAAACCTAAATAAATAACCAGACACTCACGAAATACTTTAACCCGAATATATTTTGACCTTCAGAGTCGTTTGAACGTTATCCGAGTAATAGTTATATAACTTCCTTTGTAATAATTCTATTTAAATTTAATTTGGGTTGTTATTTTCAAAATGGTATTTACGCTAATTGGGTTTACTATTTAAAACCGCCTATACCTTTGCTTGTGTTTTTAATTGGATTTATCAAGTCTGGTGTTAAGTTTTCGTTAAGGGTTCATGTTCGCCGCTCAAAATAACTTCTACTAGAAAGTGTACGATAGATTTATATTAAATTAAGATACGAGGTACAATTTCAGGTAATCAGGTAAATAATTCAGAAATTTCGAGGTTATTTCTAATTACCAAAAATAAAAAATTTATTTCTATTTGAACAAAATCTGACTACTAAACTGTCTCGCATTATAAATAGAACATATTTTCACGGCTATATCATGTAATAAATCATAAGACAAATTTTTCAGTAGGTACACACTTACTATGGACCTAAAATGTAACTATGGTAAGCGAAAACGCCTATTTATAGCTGTTATAAGCATAAATCACTGGACATTTTAATTACAAGTAAATATTGACAAGTAATAAAAATAAAACAATTTATTGGTATACGAATGATTGATAATGTATGCGTTTAAATGTATATTCGAGATGGTTTTGAATAATATATTTTTCGAGTTTTCCCTTCTTAACATTGACGAGCAGAATAAAGCCCTCGTATCCACTTTTGCGAATAAGATAATGGAAAGGCGCGTTATCTTATTTGCTCTTCGGATACGACATTCGTGTAGTCATTAAAAGAACGGCCTCTCTTTCAAGTGCACAATGCAATATATTTTATCTACAGCTACGCCGAAAAATATTTAAATGATCTGGAAAATGTTTAAGCTTATCGTACTCGAGGCTCGCAACCCGTACGCTTACTACCTACGCATAATATATGATAGAGAAAACGGTCATACCCGCATTATATGCTCTTTTCGAGTGAAGGACGATTACGGAATCGAGCAAAAAAGTTAGTCAAAAGAAAAAAAAAATGTATATATAAAATGTTTGAGAAGACCTTTTTCCCTATACTCACTTTTTTCCCTCTCCCCTATCGATTGTGAACTCCGGTACTCTCTTTTTGCAAACGTCGCGACTAATAGTACATCATTGTGGAACTCATCAATCAATCACTTTTGGGGGCTTTCAAAATAAAGGTATGACGACGACAACGACGACCACCACCGACGATGGTATAGGTAGGTAAGACGGTGTTGTATCGCACTGTATGGAGCGTATAGGCGACGAAGGTCGGGCAAGTAGTAGTTTTGAATCCGAAAAGTGGGTATTTTCACACGCATTGACAGTACTTACTACCGCCGCTGTGCAGAGGTCCCGGGGAGATTTGGTTGATAAACGGTCGCGGTTACCCCCTTCGGTGGTTCAATTGACCGGCCTCTCCGTCGGAACGATTGCTTTTAACATGTGTGCGTGTGCTAGACGAAGAAGGTGAAAGCCCGTCGCTCCCCTGTCCCCTTTTCCGCATTAATTAACAATAATCGAATATTGCCATTAATCCGGGCGGACGTCCTGCAATTACTCGTCCGGATGAGAGCCAGCCGGGAAATAGATTGATCGTCGGCGTTATATTGCATTCTTGGGGTGTATTTTTTTCCCCTGCTTTTATTCTCCTCCTCGGACATTTTATCGTTTTCCATGGCAGCGACCAATACATACCCCGGGGAATTTCAATGGTCATAATGTATACAGCCGCGCGCGAGAGACAGAAAGAGAAGATGCCGGCGATGGAACAGCGTTTTTTTTTTATTGTCGTGAAATATATTTCTAAAAAAAAAACACACTCACACACAATGATAGGGTAAAGAATTGACGGTTGACACACTGTAAACCTCTATTATGAAAGTACACAATATTTGAAAAACAAAAATGATATTACTTTTTTTCAGATACAACATATGCGTACAAAATACATAAGTAAATTACTACCAAAATTTGTTGACAAAGTAGTTTTTTGTAAAAAAAAATTGAAGGTATGAAATTTGGTCTAATATTTTTACTGAACTTGTAACTCAAGCGTATCTACATAAATTATCAATATTAAAACAATTTTTTTCGAATAAACACATTCATAGAATAATTAAATTGTTTATAATTCTTAATTACAAATATACTAACGAATTTAAGGATCTTGAAAAAATTAATTTACCAAATAATTTTGGAAACAAAAATAGATTAAAATCAAACAACTTTACTTAAAGTTTTTAATTATTATTTTGTTTAAATTTTGTTCTATTTATATAATAAAACAATCAGTGAACTTTATACAATAGCCAAAACTCTTTGTAAAACAATTATTGTTTATCGGTTTATATTCAAATAAACACCATATTTTAAAATTTTAAATATTACCTT